AATTATAGATTGCCAAACTCAGAAGGCTCCACTAAAGAATTCATACTGTGTCACTATCTGGACAAGAAAGATCATAGCTTTTATTCAGGGGTTACAGTTTAAAACCACCTTAAGTGCCTCGCAATCTACCTACCCTGACCATTTTTCTTTTTTTTTTTCAAAGTTTATTAAATTATAAAAGTTTCCATCTCTGCCCCTCCTCCCAACACCCTCCCACTCCCCCCACTCCCCCCTGACCATTTTTCTTATTTGCCTTTTCTTATTGTATAACCCCCAACTGTATCATTATCACATCTTCCCTATACTCATGTGCTTAATCTCCATCCTTACTTCCACAATCCTCACAAGGTAGAAGACCCTTGTTGGTATTCCTGTCCTACAATATGGTGACAGTTCAGGCAGTCATTATGATCTACCTAGTTTTCATAAAACTGCAAACTTTGAAGCCATTGTGGTTGTTTGGATACGAATGCCTCCCCAGCTCATATATTTGAATACTTAGTCACCAAGGAGTGGCACTATGAAAGAATTTCAAGGATTAGGAGTGGTGACTGTGTTGGATGAAAGACATCACTGGAGATGGGCTTTGAGGTTATCACAGCCCAAGAGAGGTCCAGTGTTACCAGCTCTCAGCCTGAGGATGAGGATGTAGCACTCAACTCCTGCTTCAGTGCCATGTTGCTGCCATGCTCCCCGCCAAGATGACAATGAACTAAGGCTCTGAAACTGCAAGCAAACCTCCCATTAAATTCTTTCTTTCATATAAGTTGCCTTCATCACGGTGTCTCTTCAATAGCAAAAGAATAGTGACTAAGACTGTGTCAACAGTGACTAAGACTGTGTCCATGAATGAATCCTAGGACACTTGGTGGAAATCCAAGAAGTAAGTCACAGATTTGGGCATAAGACCAACATGTCAGCAATTAAGAACAAAGACAGAAACAAGTCTAAAATGAACTACAGGTAGTGATACAAACATAAGAAATGTGATGAGATAAAACAGAAGAAATATGCCAACTGTATTTTTGATGTAAAACATAACCAAAGAGGTGCTAAGGTACAAGAAGATTATGAGAAAGAACCCATGGACTCAGAGTTTCTTTTCATTTTCCAACTTCTGCAAAGAAGGAAGTCTGTTGGGGGGATTTTGCAGGGCCATGGAAAGTTCATTTTCTTAACTGGGTGTAGATGATGAGTGATATGGAAATAAAAGCATTTAATATCCAGAACCAGAAGCCCAGACCGGTTGCCTGAGGTGCTGGCTGCAGTGCTAGAACATGCCCTGTACTGAGCACATTGATCACTCACAGGATCCAGGGCTCTCATAGCATCGGAGCATCAGACCTCCTAGTCTCGGAGTTCCATGATCTTGCCCTGTCCATCCCATCAGTCCTCTTTCTAGAGTCTTGGTGGAATTTATTCTGCTTGGTTCTTGTTGGACAGAGAATCCAAGATTGTTCCATGGCCTCCGTATCAAAAGGGATCACATTGGGGAAGAGGTCACTGTGCGAGTCTAGATTTGGATTCTGTCATCATGAAGGATTTGTATCTTGAACGTCCCCTGGGGGGGAAATGAATATGCCATGCTTGAAAGTCAAGGGTGGAGAATGTGTGGATCTCTGACCAAAGCCTAGGACTATAGTAAATTAGAGATTATTTCAGCAATATCCTCCTCCTCCAGCTATCTGCTCTTTGTCTTGTCCATTACTCTGACTCTGATGATTCCTTTGGTAAAGTTAACTTTTGGCTCTTTGGAGACATTGAACTTGGCCGTTCAGGTTGCTTCAACTCATGCACAGCGTGCGAGTGGAAATTTCAAACGCCTGTTGTACAAAAGAGCTTTGCAAGTCATTATGTGTTTCTGTAAACTCTCTTGCTCTTTTCACTCTGCATTAAAATGAGGATGTCTGTGCCGGGGAGGTGGATCATCAGTTAAGAGCTCTTGTGGCTCTTTCAGAGAACCTGTGTTGACTTCCCAGAACCCATGTAGGAGCAGGCCTCTGAATACACATGGTGCACTCATGCAGGCAAAACACTCATACGCATGAAATAAAATAGGAGACCTCTCTGAAAATAGGATTTTAAATAAAGGGAGATGTCCATCATGGGACTGACTCTCCAGCCTTTGGTACTAAAACAAAGGTGGCCTAGGGCTAGGGCTCTAACTCTAAGTAGAGTACTTGCCTAGGATGTGTAAATTCTTAAGTTCAATACCCAGTACCACAAAAACAAAATACTATAATGGTCCAAAGCACATTAGACTGTAGCTATTGTACAGCGAACACAGGACAGGGTATATTAATCCAGTTGAAGCAGAGACGGAGAATAATTAGCAGTGATGTGGGTCATGCAATTGTAAACTAGGGAGCAAACCTCACACAAGTATACACTATTGTTAGAAAGTCAAATTTAATGTTCTTATAAGCGGTACAGAATGGGAAGACAAACAACAGTTGATGAGGTTCACAAGATTTGCATGGAGGGGAGAAGAGTCATGGAAACTGAAATGTTTAAGAATCAACCCGCATCAGATCTGTCACTGACAGCCGTGTTGTCCTGTTTTCACCTGACAGTCCTAACCCTCAACACCTCAGGTGCTTTGAAGAAAATCTGATGTTGTTTCTTTACAGCCATACTTCCTTCTCTCCTAGGCTTTGTGAAGCTGGTGACGAGGACTTAGTAGGGACTGGAGCTTTGAGCTCAGCCCATAGAAAGATCCAAATGTCCTATGCAGGTATGCATGAGTAAGATAGAAACTGAGTCTGACCTACACGGATTGTTTAGTTGTTGTAACAAATAGCCTGACAAATTAGAGACATGGGGAGGAAAGAGTGTGCATGGACTACAATTTCAGACTGCAGGATATTATTTGGGAGAAGTCAAGCCAGTAACTCAAGCAGCTCATTGCATTACATCCACAGTTAAAATCCTTGCTTGCTTGCTGTCCGTTAGCTTTCTCTGTTCTTATGTAGTCCATGAAATGGTGCTGTCCACAATGAGCTGGATCTTTTTATACGATCTAACCATATGGTATCCCCACAAAGATTTGGCCACAGGCCAATCAGATCCAGGCAATTCCTCAATTAAGACTCCTGTCTCAGTTAAATCTTGGCTATGCCAAGTTGACATTCAAAACTAACCAGATGTGGACCTTTTCATAGCCAACCAAGGCTCCCACTCCATTTATACATTTTGCCTTCTGTGCAAGTTGGTGGGTAAAGAATGAAATGGAAAGAGTTCTGGGGAAACGTTCAGCTTAGTCATGGTGACCAATTGCAAAGCCAGCACCTGTTAAAGTAAAAGCATATCACCATGAACAACTAAGGTTCAAATATTTGTCTTTTACTGTGGAGTAATTGCTGTGATGAAATGACTTCCCTACAGCTCTTTAGGGGTTATTAGCTTTCCCAAGCTATGACCAGCAGAGCAATGTCAGGCTGTGATCAAATTCTGTACTATATGTGTTGAAAAGCTCAGACTGACTTGGATGGTAAACACACAACTCATATATTTTTAAGTCCCTAATGTGCAGTGGACCTGAAAATAAATGTAAAGATGGTGGATAACAAGAAAAAACAGGCTATATGCTCCCAACACTCACAGTAAAGCAGAAAATAGTACATCAAGAGGCTCGTGGTTCATTACCTGTAACTACAATGCACATTCCTAAGGACAATGTAGAGAGCCACGGACTCTATAGCACAATGTGGGAGGGTCAGAGGGGGTGAAAGAAAGAGCTACTTAGGAACAAGATGGAGAGACAAAGGTGGTATGTTACCAGGGCTCTAAGATGAAAGCAAAACAGGACAAGATCAAATGCTAAGGTCAGGATGGTTGGATTTTAGACGACAGAATGGGTGCACTATGAGGCTAAAACTATGGCAACGCTGGACCTCATGGGACTTCAGAGGCTACAGGGATGATTTTGAAAGGAAGTAGCAAAGACTAGCCCTTGAAGGTTTTAATTTAAGGAATGACATCATCAGATTTTCATAGTGAGATAATTCTGTATGTGGTATGCATAATGTATTGGAGGGAGGCCGAGTGACAGTTGGAATGTTAGCATAAAACCCTGGTGATAGCTGAGGGCTGTAGGGAGAGACAGCAGAGGTGGGGTCTGTGTGTGAAATAATACTGACGTCTCTCAGCATCAACAAAACCTCAGTACTGTAAGGATTCCTAAGAAGTGATGACACCAACTTCCCCAACAGACTGCCCAACCAAACTCTCCAAAGAGAAGTCAATTAATAAACTCTAATAAGGAATGTATCTTACATTTTTCTCAGATACCCAGCTATTTCTCTTGTCTTTCCCCTCATTTAATTTTCCAAGGTAACTTTCGGAGTATAGGTTATTACATTTAAATTTGAGAAATTCGCAGCTCAAGGAAGCGAAGTAACAAGTCTGAGGTCCCATAGCTAACATGGTAGGCCATTTTAATCTTAGCCTGTGAGACGGTGAATCCCAGGCTCTTTCTACTACTCAGCGTTAGCTCAGTGTTGCTGGAATGATTTAAAAAGCATTGATATGTGCAGAAGTGCACAGTGATTTGAACCCTAATAAAAAGCAAATGAAGATTGCTACCCATTGAATATTTTGAAAAAAATCAAACTTTTTTGATTTGTCAGTTTAGTACTGTGCAAATTCTCAGGAAAATCACACAATCATATTTCTTCCTGAATTTAACAGCTTTGATATATTATCTTTCACATATTTAGGTTAATTGGACCAAGAACATAATTATATACTACCCATAATTAAATGTGATCAGAAAATGACAGACAGGAAGAATTGCTTGATTAAAAGTTTTTGTCGTGTTCACACATGCTGGCGTGACACGGCATCTCTAAGAAGCACCTTCGTTGACCAGAAGGTATCCAGCTGACCTGACTCTGGGTTGTTCATGTTCTACCATGGTCAAGGAGATTTGCTATCTTCACCATGTTCCACCATGTGAACACCACTGATACGATCATGACAGGAAGTATGACCTCACTCTGCTGCCCTGCGTCTGGTTCAGAAGGCTGATTTTGAAAGTAAACAAGGGCTGCGAGGCTTAACTCTCCCAAGAATGACAAGCTATTCTATTCTAGGAAACAGTTGAAAGCTCCAGAGGTCACCGAAGAACTAAACTGCGTTGTGGATGCCTCCACGTAGCGGGGATGCGGGCAGTTTCCACCAGAAGGGAGAAGGGATTCCCTTTGTGAAGGAACTTCTGCACCTGTTGGCATTCTAACGGGGCTTTCAGCCGAAGGACTGCTGGGTCCAGCTTTCTGCACTGCCAACCACGGGGAAGCTTCGTATTTCAGTAACCATCCTGTCGTTTGTCAGTTGGAAGAAGAGCCTGGGGACTCCCAGTGGAGGAATATGTATGAGCGAGTTCTATTTCAGAACAGATGCGTTGCTTTGATGAACTGGTAGACAGAGTCTGTTTCTTGAAAAATTCTTGAGCTGTTAATGCAAGTTGTTTTCAGTTCCTAATGCTTGACTAACTGGCGTTGTCCTCACTGTCCACAGCTACTCGCTTTTGTAAGATCAAACAGTGAGACCGTCCTTGCTTTTTGCTGCAGAATGTCGTGGCTTAAAAGTAAGCTTACCGCTCAAGTGAAACTAGCATAGAGTCATTTGCACCGGATATATGCTTGTTGTATTTGTCAATGCTGAAGTGACAAGGGACATGCTAATAGGCTTGTTTCTGTGCAATATCTTATTTTTCAAATCAGTGATTTTCTTTTAAATGTGTGTTTTGGTTTAGAAACCTTTAGAGAATTCTAGAAATGTCCCCTGTCTTCTTTAAAGGGATCTTATGAGCTGGAGTATATGATTCCTTGAATGGTTCATACATACACCATTAAACTGTTCCATTTTGAGTCTTAAAATTAATGTGATTGATTTAACGTATTATGTTGCAACAGTCAATTATTACTTGTCATGTTTATTAAAAGTATAGACAGAGCTACTGGATCATGAAAGACATGACTTTCACCTTACAAAACTACCAGGGTAGTGATTACACACACACAAGCACGCGCGCACGCACACGCACACACACACACACACACACACACACACACACACGCCACCTGCAGATAAAACTATGTAATAAGAAGTAACTGATCAAAGTTTACACAAATAGTATGCTCAGATGTATGCTTTCAGGAACGGAGCTTTGTAATCTGGGTGGTGGTGTGCTATTTGTAGCTCAGGGTAGCTTATGCTGTTTAGGAATGTTCAAACTGATAGCCACCACAAAAAGCGCCAGGCTTCTCCATGGCCACTTGTCAATGGTTCATGTTGTTGAGCAAAGAAGACAGGCACCGGTCCCTAAGCACTCTCTGCAACTTGATAATGAATCTACATTCTGCAGACTGCTTTAAATACACACGAGTTTGTTTCAAGGACTCTAGAACCAGCCACGCTTTCAGATTTCTTAATTAAGTAATGCACACTATTTAATCTGGAGGACAAATCAACCTTTGTCAGTATTGCTTTCCTCCCAAAACGGGGTCCTTATTTACAGAATATTCTGCCTTATGCAATGAGACAATGAAAAATAGAATTTGAAGTCTCTGAAGCAGGCACCACCTCATTGAAGTCCCACAATCTGGTCTGCTGTCTTCAATCCTACGTCTCTCTATCACTTCAGCAAACAAATCTGACTAGTACAATTAGTAGATGCCATCTGTTTTGGCATCATTTGTCTATTTTTAATATATAGTCCATCTTTTTTTTAACGTCTTTTGCAGAGAAAAAAAAATCTGTGAAATTTGAACAAGCGGCCTTCTCAAGATGTACCGAGTCTCTCAACTGATGTCGACACCAGTAGCAAGTAAATGTGAAACTGCTCTGTGCAATTATCTTTGAATGATTAGAGTCCTCTTAGCAATTTCCTTGCTTTGATTTTGCTGATACTTAGACCATTAGCCATCTGTCAGTAGCTTGTGTTTCTTAAATGCCAGTGTGTGCTTTGGCAATGATTTTGACTTCATTTCTTTCCTTGAGAGAAATGTGGCATTTTTTTCTTTTTAGGATAAAAAAAAAAATCACTGTTTTTTTTAGATGCCTATGCATAAATGTGAAAGGAGACTGTTTACTGGCTACAATTAAGATGCAAAACTGTCTACAAAAAAATACTGCAAGATTGATAGCTACTTGCACAAAATAAGGGCGTTGTTGAAACGGTAGTGGTTTTGAGTTTCTTCCTTCCTCTTATTTTTCTGCCTACACCCCTTTTCTCTCCCTCTCTCACACCCACAGTTTTCTACTCATAATAAAGGTCCAAGCTGAAAGTCTAAATTACCTTATTTGTTTTTAGTAGTATTTGTCAGTAAGGAAACCAAGTTTCACTGAGCCCTGCTGTTAGAAGTCTTGCTACCATCAGTACCTGTTATAAAATTATGTGGCACAGCTTAGGCTATTAATCACCTGCAACCCTCCTCTAGGTGAAGCCCGTTGTCATAGACCAGAGTTTGTATTTGAGTCTTTTTTTTAATAAAAATCTCACAGGCTTCATACCTTTAAGAATCTTATATTTAAAAGAAACAAAATCAAACCCAGGGCTGGGGATGTGGCACTGTGATGTGAAGTGTTCACCACGCAAGCATGAAGACCTGGATTCAGATTCACCTAGCCCACAGAAAGGACTGGGTATGATGGATGATGGTACCTGTAATCCTGGTACTGATAGGAGACATTCTAGGAGAATTGATGAGATCTAGATAGAGACTTTGCCTCAAAAAAGGTGAAGAGCAATAGAGGAAGACCATGCAAACACATTTGCACACACAAAATGAAAATTTTATACTCCGCCCAGGCGCCTTCTGTTTGCCATAGTAGAAATCTACAATGCACACATAACAAAACTGGTGGCCAGTGATTGAATTTCTCAGATTATGGAGTAATCAGCAATAACCAATACATTGAGTCACGGATCTTGATTTTTTTTTTTTACAACATCACACAAGCTTCTTCCTCTTTTCCATTCATAAATTCAGTTTGGTGGCCATGATTTAAAGAAAAATTTCAAGGACTGTGGAGTGTGAGAAAGGACAGAAGACAGAAATTTCTCGACTGCTTTATGCTTCCCATAGGGAATAGGTGTCAAGTTGGTGGATTCCCTGGAACTAGCTTTTCACACTGCTCTAGTACATTGTTGTCTTCTTGCTAAGACTGGGACATCTAGGCATACCTGCTCATGGGTCTCCACTGTTGCCAATCGTGATCATACATGTTGGTGAGATGTTGAATATTTCTTTCTTTTTTCCTTACACAGATTCCACCAGGTCACACAGAGGACATTCTGGAGAGCTGTCCCCCAAATGCATTTTCCCAAGGTATGCCACAGGACTTTTCTCTGTCAAATCAAACTTCCTTCATGCCCATTTTATTTTGTCTTCCTTTAAAAGGACCATGGCTATATATTTTCCGCCCTGTGCATTAGCAACTGAAAACTTGTCTCCTCTAAGAATGATTTGTTTTTCCTTTTTAGTGTGAGTATGTAGGCAGGTACAATCATATCTTTATTGGGTGGAAAACTACATTGAATTCTTAGATATCACTGGGTTTTTGTTTCTTATGCTGGTGTCTTAATTGCTTTCTTTTGCCATGATAAAGCACCATGATGACAAAGACAACTTATAGAAGAAATTATTTATGGATGCTTACAATTATAGTGTTATAGTTCATGACCATCATAGAGGGGACCATGGTAGTAATCAGGCAGGCATGGTGCTGGAGCAGTAACTGAGAGCTTATGTACGATCCAGAAGAAAGAGGCAGATAAAGAAAGAACTAACAGAAACAGGCATGTTCTTTTTAAACCTTAAAATCAATCCTCAGTGGCACATCTGCACCAACAAGGCCACACCTCCTAATCCTACCCAAATAGTTCTACCAACTGGAGACCAAGCATTCAAATGTGTGAGTCTATGGGGATCATTCCCATTCAAACCACTTTTGTCTTCTCACTTCATTTTACAAGGGTCAGAGTTATTACCAGCAAGCTGACCATATTTCATATTCTGCTCACACTAGTTGATTTCATCATTTTTTTCTACTCTGCAATGGAATCTTTGTTTTCCTTTCCATAGGCTTTAGTTGAGGTTTCCTCCAGCATTTTCTGAAATGTACTTGCAAGATAAAAGAATCTAACACTGATATTAGAATCTGTCCTTCCTGTAAACATCAGGTCTTCTGATACATGAGTCAGCCAAGGATATAAGGCAGAAATATGAATTTGTGTTGGGTCAGTTTAACTAAAATTCTATCCTAACTCCCCTGTATGCAAGCTGTGAAAATAACTAATTATCCCTGCCTTTTAGAGAAATTTACAAAGGGCAGAACAAATAAAAATTGGGGGCTATATACATGGTGCAACTTCAATAATAATTTCTGTTTCCTTTTTAAGATTTATTTATTTATTTATTATATATACAATATTCTGCCTGAATGTATGCCTGCAGGCCAGAAGAGGACACCCAATTTCATTATAGATGGTTATGAGCTGCCATGTGGTTGCTGGGCATTGAGCTCAGGATCTTTGAAAGAGCAGCCAGTACCCTTAAATTCTGAGCCATCTCTCCAATCATTCAACAAATAATTTATATTAATTAGTATATTATTAACAACAAGCTCATATGTTAATTGTTCATGGGTTTTTAAATTGAAAAAGTTAGAAATGTCTGTGGGAAATATAGAAAGAGGGGATGAGACATGACTTACAACCTACAATAGATGAATAACTACACAAACTTTTTAAAGGCTATGGTAGGGTCTGTCCCTTCATTAACACCAGAAATCAAAATTCTCCCAGGACTTGTTTAGTTATCTCTCAAGACAAGAAAGGACTTGGTGTTAGGGAAATGAAGCGAGTTGCTGGTTGTATGTGTAGGTAGGTTTCTGAAATCCATTGAAAAGAGCCTATTGAATGACAATAAGCCTCTAGAATGGCTCTAGTCTAATTCAAGTGAGAGTCAAGACCTAGAGGTAGTTTTGCTAACCACTGAAAAGATTTGGTATCACCGAGGACACTCTTTTACAAGTATGTTGATGTAGCAAGAATGTTTCCATTTTTATGAACAGTCAAGAAAGAAGAGAAAAACTTAAGGACTCTTGAAAGAAGGGATGCCCAGGATTAGAAAAACCTGAGGTTGATAATAATTGTTAAAGACTGACCCTCAGAGGGCAGCTAGAAATGCAGGTCCAAAGCTCTGTAGTTCCCAAGCGCCCAGTGCATTTTGAATATCTCCATTGATTCTTGAGAAGATAAACAGTATGGAGAGGGAAACATAGGTAAGGAGGCCAAAATAAATAAATAAATAAATAAATAAATAGAAATTTGTAACTCACCTTTCACTCAGAAGCATCAAGATCTTGGACGATTATTGTCTGTTATTATTACTGGTGTCTTCCTCTTTTGTACAAAAAGAGGAAATGATGAACAAAAATGATGCTGAAATGAAGTGGCCCAGGCCTCCCTGGAGAGAGATAATTTCTGGCATTTCCAAAGTCTCAGATCTCTCTACTTGTTCTGTTCAATATTTTCATCAGTGATTTAAAGTAAGAAGCTGGCACCATCAGTAAGTCTTTAAGTTGTCTTTAATTAGCAGGAAAGTATTAGAAATTATTGGGGCATTTTTTGAACAGACTGTGTTTCAGTGATTCTCCTCCCTCTGTTCTCCCCACTATTGTTACCCCTAGGTGAAGGGGCGCGGTGAGATCGGTAATAAAAGATCCACCAGACTAGCTTAATACAAAATACACAGCTTTAATAAACAGAAGGAAGACTTACACCAGAGTCCCAACGATCCGGACGCAGGAGCCAGGCGAGAGAGATTGAGAGAGAGAGAGAGAGACAGAGAGAGACAGAGAGACAGAGAGAGAGAGAGAGACAGAGAGAGAGAGAGAGAGAGAGAGAGAGAGAGAGACAGAGAGAGAGAGAGAGAGAGAGAGAGAGAGAGAGAGAGAGAGAGAGAGGAAGAGCACTCGCCAGGTTTCTAGGTAAACTTTTACCTAAGGGCGACACGCCCCACAAACAGAATGTGATTGGCTGAACTCCTATCACCTAGGCTTTCCCTTCTCCTCCTCTAAATTCTTTCACTGGTCTGCTTTCCTCTTTCATGTGCCGTGTGTCCTTTCTCCTACCCTCTATCCTTTTTCATCACTCATTTTTATCTTCTCTCAGTCTTCTTTCTAGTTTATTAGCTTTTACCTACATTTCTATTTTAATGAAATTATACAAAGACATTAAGACTATTACATTGATAGAGTTAGTGTCATACTTACCTTCAACTTGACAGTTGACACACCTTTAGAGTCACTTGTGAAGAATTATCTTCAACTAAAGAATTGCCTCACTTGGATTGACCTATGACCATGCCTGTGAGGCATTTTCTTACTTGCTACATTTTTGAGTGGTGCCAGCCCTACACAGGTAGACCTGGGCTATGTAAGAAAACTAGTTTCGCAAACTAGAGGAAGTAAAACAATAAGCTCTATTTGCTCAGGTTTCTGCTTCAAGTTCCTGCCTTGTCAATCTTTGAGGTTGGACTGTAACCTGTCAGATGAAATGAATTCTTTTATCCCCAAGTTGCCTTTAGTCCAAATGTTTAACACAGTAACAAAAAGTTAAATTAGACAGTTAGAATCCCCCCAAAATTCAAAAGCATAAAACATCAACACATATAAATAGTAGTCAACGTGTTTGGTTTAGAACATTTAGAATATGCAAGACATCAGTATTAAGAACAGTTCATGAACTTATTTCATCTTTGATGAAACTCTATGAGGCTTAAATAACCTTCAGTGTACATATTTTTGTACAGGATGTACAGAAAATACACAGGAAAGTAGCTTGTAGGGAGAATAAAAACAATTTGCATAATTATGATGAAAACTCAAAGTAAAAACCTAGCTCTCATTAGATGCAAGTTCTCTTCTCCTTAGTCTACTATATACTGATATTCTAAGGGGAAGTTGGCATAGACATCTGGAAGGGATGATATTAAGGGTATAGGAAAAAAATACTCGAAATTGACAATTGTTTCAGTATGTTGGTGATGGAAGTAGATAAACAAAAGGACCCAATGTCTTGGATTTTGTAATTTAAGAAAGGTATTCTGTAAGTAGGGATGTGACAATCACGTTCTCTTCTGGATGGATACAACTAAGGGCCCTTGTTTGTCACAAGGAAGAGGAGGATACTTGAACTAAAAAACAGAGGAAAAAAAACAATCATAATAAAAAATTGAAGTCACCTTCTGTCATAGAAAGATGAATTACATGAAAGGGAAACCTTTTAGTACAGTAAAGAAGGAACTTGGCTAAGATATGGAGGCTGCCATTGAAGAGCTGGATATCTCTCAAGTGGGAAATTTAAAAGAAAGGAAATTGTAATTTCTCTATTACAGTGGCAAGAGGACAATGTGGTACATGACATTCAAGCTGTATTGAGTGAAAGGAATGATGAGTTTTCAACATCCAGAAAAGGCTGTTTGGTGATATTTCCACAAGAATGAACTAATATCAAGTGTGTAGTAAATCCCTCATAAGGTGAAGAAGCTGACTGGCCAGAATGTTGTCACCAAAATTCAAAATAGAAAGAACTAAATGCTGTGTGGTCCAAAGCCCTGTAAGTTAAGAGCACCATTGCTAAGGGCTGAGGAAGTAGTTGGAAATCTTTATTGTGAAGAATGAAATTTCCTTCATGGTGTCTAGATGGTCCTATGGTGTTTGTGTGATTGTAAGGACTTGGTAGTGACTTAAAGGACCTTTTCTTTTTTTCCTTTTTAGCTTTGATTGTGGCTTCCTGGATGGAGACAGTTCGTTTGAATGCTGCTCCGTAGACCCGCTGACAGGCTCCCACTATGTCTGTCGCAGAAGCCCCCGGCTCCTCACCAATGGCTACTACATTTGGACTGAGGACAGTTTCCTTTGTGACCCAGATGGCCACATCACTCTGAACCCCTCCCATACCAGTGTTATGTACAAGGAGAACTTAGTTAGGTAAGTAGAGAACACTGTGTAAAGGCAACTTAAGGCCATTCTTCCCAACGTTTGTCCATCCACACATTGATAAGCAGCTCAATGCTGCCCAAGAGTATGGGAATAAAAGAGGAATTGGAAGCAGGGGAAGCCAACATGAAAACAAATGAAAGTAAAATGAAGTGATACTCATGCTGGAGTGGAAGTTTTGAATTCTAAAAGACTTAGATTGCCTGTTAAAATAGGAAATGGAGAGCCATGAAGAAAGGCACAGGCAAAGGATTCTGAGAAACCCGGATACAATTGGGAGAATGCAAGAATCTTGGTGTGGATACAGTTTAAGGAAGGGGCTTCCTACAAGAAAGAAGGATAAAATATCCTAATTGAGAATCATGAATAACTAGGGCTTAGGACTTGGGGAATATCTCAGTCAGTCAACTGCATAAGGACATGAGCTCAGATCCCTAGCACCACACAGAAACCAGTCACAGCATTGTGATTCTGTAATCCCAGAACTGGAGAGGCAGTGACAAGTACAATCGTGAAATTCATTGACCGAACAATCTAGTCCAATCAGAAAGCTCCAGGTTCAGTAGAGACCTTGTCTCAAACAATAGGATGGAGAGTGATAGAGAAAGATACTCAAGGAGGCCCTCTGGCCTACACACACACACACACACACACACACACACACACACACACAGTACAAATTAAACAAATAAAACCCATGGAGACTTGCTCTAACCTACCTTTACACTATGGGAAAGTCACTTCAAAATGCATCTTCTGAAACTGATTCTAGATGCCCATCTGAATGTTGCCATGATAAAAGCATCCATTTCCTCTCTTTGTTACTTGGTTCTGGGTCAGTCCTTTCCATTTCTCACTAACATAGTGGGTTCAGCACAGGGCTTGACACATTCCAGACTGGTAGACAAGAAGTGATACTGTCATGAATTTTCAGTATCTCCCTGATTCTCCAAATCATTCTTTGTGGTTTGGAAATAAAAACTGAGTTACATCATTACCCACCCTTTTCCCAAGACACATTCCTGTGGTTTCTTTTACACTAACATTCAACCCCAGGTTCCCTAGGAAACAGGCAGGACTTTTTACTATCTTTCCATCTTCACGTTTTACCATGATCCAATATGAAAGACATTTATTTTTCAACAATCGTCTCATATAATTTATGGTTCACTTATTCCAGAAAGCTTTATTGATTCTCAATTATCCTGGCAATTCCAGTTCTTTGTGGGCATTTTCTGCATAGTTCTTCAGAGCACATATCTCCAACATAATATGATGGTTAGGAGCATTGTCTGTGCAGTTAGACTGATTAGATTTGTTTCCAAGCTATGTCATTTCCTGGTTGGATGACCTTAGCCAAACCATAAAACCTCTCTTGGTCTCATTTTCCAAATCTCAGAAATGGAATAATAGTGATAACTATCTAACCTGCATCAGGTGAGCTCCTTAGAGGCATCAGTGTATTTACAGTGCCCTGTCAGCTTCCTAGAGCATAGACCATAACCACTTTGTATACTTAGGTTAATCTTTACCTCAGTATCGTTGACAAGCTGACATATCCAAGGACCTGTTTATGTGATAAACACAGCTCTCACCTCAAAAGGGATAAGAGATAGTTTACTACATATCCAAATATGAGTGACCATGTCACAGGAACACAGACTTAGGCACCCCAAATTTCATATCCCTGAGTCACAATTACTCATCCTCAGCTGCAAAATAAACTATCTTGAGAAGAGAGCTGTTGTTTTATGTCAATAGTTATTATGCCAAAACTCTGGGCCCCCAAATGGGTCTACTTTTCACCAGTATGGCTCTTTAATGACCAATCCATCTCCTCAGGTGGATGCTGGTGAGTTTTTGTTGGGATTCAGATCGCCCTTGGTTTGGATGATGGTCTGTCCTTTTGTTCTGAGTACTTCAAGATCCTTTCAGTTGTATGTATTTAATTGTTGAAATGAAAACTTAATTCTCATCTCAAAGGGGATAAGAAATCACTTATTCTAGAAACAGGCTGACCATGGTTCAGGAACACAGATTTAGGTTTCCTCAAATTTCACATTCCAGTTCATGAAATTTTTGCAGTAAGAGAAAAAATGAGAATAAATAAAATTCCCAGTTAAGGTTCCTATTGCTGTGATTAAACACCACGATGAAAAGCAACTTGTGAAGGGGGAAAAAGAGAATAATAAAAGTCCCAGTTAGAGTTACTATGGTGATGAAGCACCATGACAAAGAAACAGGACAAGAGGCAGGACAAGAACCTGGAAGAAGAAGCTGATGGAGAAGCCATGGAGGGATGCTGCTTACTGACTTGTTCCTCTTGGCTGGCTCAGCTTGTTTTCTTATAGAATCCAGGACAACTATCCTACAGGTAGCACCACCTACAATGGGCTGGACCTTCCCAAATCAATAATTTAAAATATTTCTTATGGGTTTGCTTATAGCCCAAACTTAAGGAGACATTTTCTCAATTGACATTCCTTCCTCTCCGATAACTCTAGCTTACGTGTGTCAAGTTGACATAAAATTAACCAGCACAATAAATCAAGACAGTTTTCATGCATTAGTGGGAACATCAGATAGTGGGTCACAACCAAGTGAGGAACTCTACTATAGTTCTTGGGCGCAATCAGACTACATTCTTAGCTTTTGGGTCAGTGGATTCGTGGCTATTTATGTCAACAGATTGCAGTGGGTTTCCAGAGATAGTCACAAACTGATATGGGCAATGAATTTCTATAAATGGATTAAAGAGAGCCTAAGATAATTTGTATTTATGCTCTGGCTCTGTAACATTCAAACCTTTCTATAGTGGACATATGGTTTAAGGTATTACTTTGGGGGAACTTAAATTCACAACCCCAAAACACAGTAACCTGTAAAAAAAAACTTTTGAGGAACTGAGTGTATGGGTTTGGGTTGTAGACCGACTCTGTGCATCAAGTCATTTCTGATGTGGGATTCCCCTCTGTATGTTGTGATTACCATTAATGAATAAAGAAACTACTTTGGACCTATAGCAGGGCAAAACTTAGCTAGGAAGGGAAAGCTAAACTGAATGCTGGGAGAAAAAAAGGCAGAGTCAAAGAGAAGCCATGTAGTCCTGCCAGAGACAGATGCCAGAACTTTAACTGGTAAGCCACAGCCATGTGGCAATACACAGATTATGGAGATGGCTTCAATTAAGATGTAAGAGCTAGCCAATAAGAAACTAGAGCTAATGTTCCAAACAGTGGTTTAAATAATATAGTTTCTGTGTGATTATTTCGGGGCTGAGCAAACAGGAAGTGATCTGCTACAACACATTTCCAGTGGATGGTTTTCAACCTGAGGTGACTGTTACTCACTGCTTTCATTTCTTCCCAGAATATTTAGAAAGAAAAAGAGAACCCACCGTTCTCTTTCTTCTCTCCTGGACCTCAGAGCCTCTAAATCTTGGCTGCATGGAAGCATCTTTGGAGATGTTGATTCACTTCCAAGTGAGGACATCTGGCTGGAGGGCATCAGAAGCTTTGGTATGTACCATTGCAATGAAAATGGTGATCTCAGCTTTTGCATTTCATGATGCAATGCCATTTATGAAGAACAGTCATATGGTCCCAACCCAAGGCATGGTCTAGAGATGACTATCATTTTGGCGGAGAGGGTGATGCCAGAATTTAAAATTTCATTGACATGGCTTCCACGTACCCAATGACTGAAATACAAAGGTCATATCATGAAAAAATGTCAGAGTGTAAAATCTGCATCAGAATGTTGATAAACATGGGCCCATTTCCAGTGTGACTTTACATGCATGGAATAGAAGTGGAGAAATGATAATGGAGGCAAATTCATAAGACCTGTATTGGAGACAGTGACCTGGAATCAGGGTTTAAATCTCAGTTTTGGCATCCTGGGGTAGCAACTTTGTTATGTCTCAATGACTTTACTTTAAAACATGGTATATGCATGCACATGCCTGTTGCATGAAGCTGCTTGTTCGTTCCCGGCTACCCAGAAATAACCACACAGAAACTGTACTAATTAAATCACTTCTTGGCCTATTAGCTCTAGCTTCTTATTGACTAGCTCTTACATCTTAATTGAACCTATTTCTATTAATCTGTGTATCACCATATGGCTGTGGCTTACCTGCGAGGTTCTGTCTGGCGTCTGTCTCTGGCAGGTCTACATGGCTTCTCCTGACTCCACCTTCTTTCTCTCATCATTCAGTTAAGTTTTCCCTGCCTACCTCTATTCTGCTCTCTGCAGGCCCAAGACAGTTTCTTTATTAACCAATGGTATTCACAGCATACAGAGGGGAATCCCACATCATATGCCTATACATAAATGTGTGTATTCTGTTGAAATAGATGATATACACGTATATAAATTACATATCTAACATAAAGATGTGCTTATGTGTTCATGCACCGAAATGCATATATATAAATACAGTGTTAGAACTCAAAGCCCATTCTCTTGTTCACTCATCAAATCCTTTACACATGTCCTGTGGAAACCACTGTACTGAGCACTTGTTCTAAGCTAAATAAGACACAACAAAGAACTTGGGAAACTCCTTTCTCAGATAAGGAGGGAAATAGGTTTTCAAACTGTTACAGTATAATGCCTTAAGTGTTGTAGCAGGGTTTGGAAGATGGAGAGAATGGTGGTGAGAAAACTAATACATAAGCCAGAATGATAGCATGAGCTCAGCCTAGATAAGGCCAGAAGGGTTTCAGGTATAATAACACCCAAGAGGGTCTTCAGAAAGGAATGGCTTACTAGGCAATCAGAAGACAGAATGACATTGTTGACTGCTCTATTCCACTTTCCAAATTGTTGGGATTATGGACTTTCCAAGGCATAAATTGTGGACAGTTTTTCCTTCATAACACATATAAATCTCTTTGGCTTTCTTGTGAGTCTTAGTCAGAATCGACTTAAGTTTTAGCAACAAGTACAAAGTGAGAAGAAAGAGACTGGGGCAAACAGTGTGAAATGTCATAGTGGCGTGCTGAAGTCACAACCGCTCTTACCTCCATTCCATGCCTCTGGTCCCATCTTCAGTGTCACTTTCTTTCCTTTTCCTTTACATACGTTGTACTGTGATCACTCCAGATACACCATTGTTTGCAAGAATGGATCATTTAATGAGTGGTCTCAGGTTGAGAACTCTACAAGAATCCATCCCTTTAATTAGGAAGAGTTTTTTTCCTAATGGAGGCTAAAACTATCTTTTCCCTGAGTATAGTGTTGAACAAAGCCAATGAAGCTACTGATTCTTATGAACACTATATTTTGTTGTAAGAAATAGGCAAAATATATTATTTATTATGTTAAAAAAAACTGTGACTTACACAGAGAAAAATTAAAGGGGAAACAATGAGGATGCAAATTTGTACCATCTATCCATGTTTTTCCTGGTTTTGATAATATTATGAAGTACTTTTACCAAAAAGAGAAAACTGGATGGATAGTAGAAATTTCCCAATTGACATGATATAAAGATCTAGTGTGTGTGTGTGTGTGTGTATGTGTGTGTGCGCGCGTGCGCACGCTTGCACAAGTGCAAACATGAAGGTGCGTATAATGCTAGATTCATTTTAAGAGAATAAAAGCTCATCAAATGAAGAATCAGTCACATAATAGGAACAAATGATTAATGAAACCAAGTACAATCTAGTTCCAATAACAAGGAAATCTAAGCAGGACACAGACAGGAGGCAGAACTCGGGGGTTGGACTAGCAAAAACAGATGGTAGAGGCCTGAAGAACCTTCTGTGCCATATTGAGGAGACAGAGTTGATCAAATGATTCAAGAAAATTCTGAAGGATCATAAGCAGAATGAAGAAATATCAGACTTTGATTTTCAAAGTTATTTTTCTAGTAGCATGCAAGTGAAGATTGGATAAAGAGTCACTGGCATGAGCTCAAAAGTAAAGAAAGGCAACAAGCATTCCAAGGCAAGGCAGAGGAAAAAGAGTTAAGGGCTGTGTATATATATATATATATATATATATATATATATATATATATATATAT